TGATGTTAGCACGTTGTTCTGCATTAGCACTCAGCATTATTCCGACGGAGCTCAGAAACACGATCCGCTTCTAACAATGGTCGCGGCCAGACTAACCGATGCACGTGAATGAAACTTTGTGTGACGGTAGAGGGAAGTCCAAGGGTCAATGCCCTACCCTCCTCTTCGTCAATGACGTGGCCGGAAATGAGTCATAAAAGTAATCCGGGTTCTTTATTGCCAGACCTTGTATGACATACTTGACTGATGCATTTGAGAATCCATTACCTAGCATAAAAATTATAAAAACCACGAGTAGGGAAATAGAAAGGATTATATGGTCCCTAAAATCTAGTCAAACCCATGGATATGATGAAATTTCGAATAATTTACTCAAAGCCTGTAAAACCTTTATTAGCGAACCAATAAGTTACTTATGTAACAGAACTATGCATGAGGGTATTTTCCCAGACAGACTGAAATATGCTACAATTATGCCAATATACAAAAAAGGTGATAAAAATCTAGAATCAAATTACAGACCTATATCCATATTGACATCTATTAGTAAGATTTTTGAAAAGGTAATGCATAGTAGAATGTTAAAACATTTGAATGATAATAGTATATTAAATAAATACCAATTTGGATTTAGAGAAAAGCAAGGGACTGAAAATGCAATTTATAGACTTATCTCTGGAATACTAGACTCTTTAAATAAAAGAATGCAAGTCTCTGGGATCATCTGTGACTTAGAAAAGGCTTTCGATTGTGTTAGCCATGATATATTATTGGATAAATTGATGTATTATGGAATAAAAGACAAACAGTATGACCTATATAAGTCATATCTATTGGATAGAAAACAGAGAACTGCTATTTCCAATGGGACAAACAGTAATAAAGTATACTCACTGGGTTAAAGTAACTAATGGTGTCCCACAAGGGTCGATACTAGGACCGCTGTTGTTTATAATATATATAAGTGACTTGCCCAAGATTCTAGAAACTAAGAGTATTCCAGTTCTATTTGCTGATGATGCCAGTTTCTTAATCTCTCAAGACAATCCAATAAAACTTAAAAATACAATAAATGAAGTATATAGAATATTGGAGGACTCGTTTAAACAAAATTTAATGTCACTGAATTTATTGAAAACATATTATATAAACTTCACTGTAAAACGTAATTTCGATAGAGAAATGGGAGGCATAGGAACGATTTTATTAAACACAAATTATATTAAATTTCTTGGCCTGACTATCCAAAATGATATAACTTGGGATAGACATATAGATGAGATAATGAAGAAATTAAACACAGCTTGTTATATGAATAGAAATGTAAAACCAGTGGTGTCTGTAAAAACATTAAAAAGTATTTATTATGCATACTTCCATTCTGTTATGACATATGGAGTAATGTTTTGGGGTAACTCAACACAAGCTGAAAGAGTTTTTAAGATACAAAAGAGAGTTATATAAGAATAATAAATGGATGTGGTTTCAGAGAGTAATGCAGAGAACTGTTTAAGAATATGAATATATTCCCTTTAAGAACACAGTATTGTGACATGTTGCGCAACGGAGAACCCCTCCCTACCCAGCAGCAACGTGGCAACTCAGGCCACAGTGACGTGGCAGATGAGTCAGCGCTCCCCTCCCCCCTCCGCACGGTAACGTAACACGCAACGCGCGGTGACGTAAGAGGGCGCGAGGTAACAGCGTTGCTAGGCTATACGCAAACACGGTGATGCGGCACCGCTTCCTACTGTGACGTGGCACGCAACAGGAACCACTGCGGCTATATAAGGGAACTGCACAGCAGCTACGAGTCAGTTGTAACGTAACAGTCACCGAGTCGAGTTGACATATAGCAGCAGTCGCCGAGTTCAGTAGTAGTCGAGCGAGTGTGTTATCAACAGTTCTCCAGTCAGCCGACTACAGTTGGAGTATAGCAGCCGTCGCGATAAGAAGAACCGGACGTGTGTGTGATTGTGTAATTGGGAGTGTGTGATACAGTGATACATAGCTCCCCTACTGTAAACGTGTAGACTACTGAAGACAGAGTGAGCTGATTTGCGCATAGGGTTATAAATCGTGAAACCCCGCAACAGTGGTAACAGATTAATGCGATTAGGGTTATAAAGTGTGAAACCCCGCAACTGTGTGATAAGTAATTGTAGCCGTTACTTGTAGATTGTTCATTAAACCAATTAACGATCTCTACGGCGTATTCAGTAACGCAACACGTTACAGTATGTATACTCTCTTCTGATGTTTGTACTAAAAAACAAAAAAAGTATTTGATACAAATAGGGATTGCTATGATATAAACACTAGACATAATATGGACATACATATGAGCCAGGTAAATTTGGCGAAATATGGTAATGGGGTAACTCACATGGCCATAAGGATTTACAATGCACTACCTAATAAAATTAAAGTAACTTCTAACGATATAAATAAGTTCTAAAACAATTTAAAGGAATTTCTTTATTTAAATTCTTTTTATACACTTGATGAATATTTTAAGAGATAATGATTTTTACAACTATATAAGTGTATATGATGTTGAGTAATACAATAAATTAATAATCATCATGAATATGAGATATTCATAATTGAATATTTTTATATGTTGGGTTTGTTGCAGGGGCGTAGGGTACATGGATGTGGTGGAAGCTTTGCTTCCCTATAGAAAAGCAACCAAGAACATTTCTGGCAATTTTTCAATTTCGAAAAAATATTTCATACTTCAAAATATTAATTAATCTGAGAACATATATTACATATAATGAGAATATTGCAAGTTTTAATGTGTTAAATAAACAATTTATCAGGATAGATCAGTTATTTTCTTCAAAAATGCAGGGTACTTCAAATTGCAACACGCGCGGAAGCAGCAGGTCTTTCGCTTCCACCCTCCCCTGTGTTAACTGGCTGACCAATGTCAATATTGTCTCTAAGTGAGCTATCCGTTATGGTATGCTACTAGCTTCGTGCTTCCAGCGATGTTGCCAGATGTAAGGCATTGCAGTTCGCAGTAGAGTGCACTAGAATTGTCTGTGACCTGGCAGTTAAGCGTGTGTATTAGTTTTCAGAAGGTGTTAGCGTCTCATTTATGCACAAGTCAGTTTAGTTATTATTCTGTATTTTTCTCGATACAGAATTTGTTTTGCTTTGCGTAATTATAACTTTATGACCAGTGTTTTTGTGATTGCTGTTAAGTTAAAAATAGAAACATGACACTTTCATGTGATAACCACTGTGTGATTGAAAAACTTCTTCAAACACCGTTCAGTTCACTCAGTTATAATGAGAAACTTAAGATAATAGAAGAAGGTGCACCTAAGCCTAATCTAACTTTACATACAAAAGTGAAATCTTGCACACGGCATTTCAATACCAGTTTATATGAGGCTATTCCATGGTTGTGTGGGTGTGATAAACTAAACAAATTATTCTGTTGGCCTTGTCTCTTGTTTTCTAAAGAAAAACACGTGTTTAACAGTGCTGGTTACAATGACATTAACAACATTTACAAATCTGGCAAACGACATGGGCATTCAGTTAATCACATTGCTTGTCTTAAAGAAATTACACTGTTTGGTAAAAACAGAAGGATTGAATTTTCTCTAAGCAGCCAATACAAACAGTCAATTGAAAAACACAATGAAGCTGTGAAACAGAACAGGAAATTTGTAGGCCAATTAATTACAGCAGTTTGTTTTCTGGGCTCTCAGGGTTTAGCATTTCGGGGACATGATGAAAGCGTGGCATCTGTTAATAGAGGAAATTACATTGAGGTTTTAAATATGCTGGCACGTTATGATTCTGATTTACACAATCATTTAGAGTCTTCAACTGCTTTCCGTGGTTCTTCTCCTGACATCCAAAATGAACTGATACATTCTGTATCTGAATTGATGACAATGGAAATTAAAAAGGAAATTTCAAAGGCTAATTATGTTTCTTTAATTCTTGATGAGACTTCAGATGTGATGAATAAGTGTCAGTTGGCTTCAGTTCTTCGATATGTGACAGCTGATGGCAATGTTGAAGAAAGGTTTCTGCGTTTTACAGACGTGAGCTCTGACCGTTCTGCCAATTCCTTGTTTAACCATGCTCTTGAGATTTTAAATGATTTTGAATGTGGTCCCAAACTCATTGCACAGACTTATGATGGTGCTGCTGTTATGGCATCACAACATGCAGGAGTACAAGCAAAAATTCGCGAGCAGTACCCAAACGCCATTTTTATTCATTGTTATGCGCATAGACTAAATTTAGTCTTAGCACAATCTGCTAGTTTTATTAAGGAAGTTAAGGTCTTCTTTGCTACTCTCTCTGGCTTTAGAACTTTTTTTGCCAAGTCCACAAAAAGGACTGAAGCATTGGATTCCCACCTTAGGAAAAGATTTCCTTCTATCGCACCTACTCGATGGCAGTACCATAGCCGACTTGCTGAAACTGTGCATGAATACAGAGAAGGAATTGAGAATCTTCTTGTGTCTATAATAGAGGAACCAGAAGAATGGGATGTAGAAACAATTTCTTCTGCACGCGGACTTCTCTCTCTTCTAAGGGATTTCGATTTCAATTTCATGCTGAAAATATTTTCTTCAATTTTTCCATATTCTGGCGCTCTTTTCAAAATCCTACAAACTAAGAGATCTGATATAGCTTTTTGCAATACCAAAATAGACGAATTTAAGCATCACATGCAAAGATTAAGGGGAGGATTTGACCACCTTTGGAGTGAAATGGAAAATGTCTTCGATTCAAATGGCCCAACTCGACCCAAAAGAATTCGCATTGACTCAATGAGTGGAGAAGAAAGAAAAAACTCCTATAAACGGCTGTTCTGTGAAATTATTGATGTCGTGTGTCAGAATGTCTCTGTTAGATTTTCGGAGAACGCTACGCTCCTCTTCTTGAGTCTTCTTGATGCCAGATACTTTCCCATGTATAGAACCTCATTTCCTGAAAAAGCATTTTCCTGTTTAAAAGAAAATTATGGTGCATTTTTTGACTTTGTTGCCTTAAAGAGTGAACTTTTAGTAATGTTTTCGGACCCAGATATGGCAAAAGATAGTGTGTATGACTTACATCAATATATGTATGCTCTTCAGTTATCATGCGTTTTCCCGCAAATCTTCAAATTATGTGAGCTAGTATTAACAATACCAGCGACAAGTGCTGCAGATGAACGCTCATTTTCAGCTCTGAAGAGATTAAAAAACTACTTAAGAAATTCGCAGAACCAGGATAGGTTGTCATCACTGGCTTTGATGAACATTGAAAAGTCCTTCCTAAACAAACTGCAGTCCAAACCCAGCTTTCTAGATGAGGTTATTGATCTGTTTGCCAAGAAAAACAGAAGAATCGAGCTGAATTATAAACAATAAAGTAAGCATTAATTATATTCCAGGTTCACAACCCTGTCATTTGATGGCTATAAAATTGTGTTGATAATTATGTGTTATTTTAATATATTAGCTTAAATATACAATACATATTAAACTATTAGCTGTTTTCTTTTAAATAGAAGATAGAAACTATAGGGTATGTAGAAAAAATTTATATACACGTATATAAAGTTGCTTCCCTGCTTTCGGTATTCATGCTACGCCACTGGTTTGTAGTATATGTTAAACCTATATGACTAAAATATTCTGTTACTTTGACGGAAACTTTGATCTTAAAATTTTATTTTTAAAGGAAAATTTTAGTGTATTGTACTACAAAGTATTTGTATGTGCCGTGACAAACTTGTCACGTCACATACACAATGATAGCATTGACAAGATAAAATAAACTGTTTCGATGATATGGCTTGCCAATATGTGTGGAGTGGCAGGTTGTGGGTTTGACAGTGGTTTTCTCGCCACCTGTGTGTGTTGTCCTGACAGCTTGGCTGTCTGTGTGAGGCCTGATTATATGTTTTATTGGACTGGGGATGAGTGATGTGTGGTCATCATGAAATTTTAATTTTGTATTTTTATAAATGTAATGTTTTTATATCTTGGATTTGTTATATACGGTTAAGCTATATGACCAAAATATTCTGTTACCTTTGATGGAAACTTTTATCTTAAATTTTAATGTATTATGCTAGAGAAAAATTGTATTATGATGTAAACATACATTGTCTTATTTTGTAAGTCTTCTTGACAATTGCTTAAGAGTATTAGCAAGATAAATTGACACAATTCTGTATCTAAGGCTTTTGCCTACTATAGATGTAATGGAATAAGGAAGAAATAATAATGATAATGATGATGATGATGATGATGATGATGATAATAATAATAATAATAATAACAACAACAACAACAACAACACTGAAATCAAAAAAGATATTGCAATTGAACACACAGGAGAGAAAAAATTAAATCCCCTAATTCATATACCCACTATAATGCACCTTCTTGTAATTTGACAAGCGTTATTATCATTCAGCGCATAAAATCACTGACAGATTGCAATTCAGTATACACACTGTCACACTAAAGAACACTATAATCGAAAAGATATTGTAATGGAACACACAGGAAAGAAATATCCCTAAAAATCAAATCCATTCATTGGTCATATACTCACTATAATGCACCTTCTTGTAATTTGACAAAAGTCATAGATTACAATTCAACGCATAACATGTGATATTAGCTGAAATGAAAGAGAGATGTATTTCAGCGACTACTAACACAATACTGCAAAAAAGGTACTTTACCTAATGATAAAAAACAAAAAAAAAAAAAACAGGACATGCACGCACTTCTGCTACAGTATGAGAAATTGTAAGCAGTAAGATAAGAATATCATGTGGTCGAAATTTAAGGGACACTTCTTCAATCAAGACGTAAAATCAGTAGCTAAATCGTAGCTAAAATTAGTGGGGGTGCTGCTCCAGAAAATGTATAGCCTTTGTTTTAAAATTGTATAAAAGGAAGCAAACATGTATAAAAAGAAAATTTATTCAGAAACTTGATAAAATCCTAAATGAACAAAATCAAACATTTTTTACTTACTTTAACCTAAATTGTTACATTTCAAGCTTAATCTATTCATTTAAAAATGAAATCCATTCTTTTTAACTTTTATATTATGCTCATCAATTGAAAGTCAGTATGCCTCACGAAGTTTCTCCTTAATACTTACAGTTCCTAAAAGTGACAGTGAAACTACATTATTAGCGTGCTTCTTTGACTTCTCATGCTTTTCAGTTTTTTCTTTCGTTTTGTTTATATTTCTAAAACCATCTTTTGTCCACGTTACATCACCCCCAAACAGCAAACACGGGAAGCAAAACAGTGCATTTTTTACTTCACAGCCGCAAAGCCAACTTTTCCGTTTGTACCATTCAGAATTAAAGCTACAAATATATTTCTTGTTCCTGCTTATGCCTGCCTGAGATATTAGAATATCACGTGTTAAACGATCTCTTTCTTAACTGCAACTTTCTCATGCAGAGACAGTTGTGAAAACTTAAGCTGTTGAAGTTCACTTAGAGTCACAGAACTTATTTCTCGGGGATGCAAGGCCATGGTTAAAGTTTTCTGTTAAATAAAAGAACCGAAAAAAATGAATCAAATAGAATAGCTGGAAGCAGGATAATAATCTAATTCTACAATTAACTCATATTTTTTAAGCACAACACATGCGGAGTAAAAAAAAACTACATTCCACCAGCAAGCCAGGGTCGGCACCGGTCGGCACTATCGTTCCTGCAGTGCTCCCTCCCCCTTGCAGCCTTGCGTGTAGGTTCCTATGTGCGCATGCGCAGGGTCAACGAACACCTCACTGCTGGAACTGTGAAACTCACAGTTCCTTACAAAGATTTGGCTACTGACATTAAGCTTAAGGATTATATATTGTATTGTACAAGTATAAAGAAAGAATTAAAGAAAAAAGGACTCATTATATAAATGTTATCGATAATATCAAGTGGAAATTGGGGGTCCTGCAGTTCCGCAGTGCCTATACGCGGGCCACCCCTGTGTAAAATGATTGCTAATTAAAACTAATTGATTATACAGACCTACGAACGGCTTGGAGCTGGGCCCACAGAAACAGCCCGTTGCTCAGATATACATAAATTAGCTAATATTATATGAAACGCCAAGGTTCTTCATCCCCATATTCACAAGAGCCCTCTATCCTCAGACAGACGAATTCAGTCCCTGCCATCGTTACCTATCGTTAATTATAGCCATTGATTGTGAATGTTAAATGATAGCATATACATCCCGACATATATTGTGGCCAGGAATAAGGGAGATAACCAATCCCATTCTTGTTGTAATAATACAGGATTAAGCTCACTGTATTAATTCTTAGAATTTAGCAGTCAAAATGTGGTAATTTGAGAATAAAACCACAGAGAGGATCTGCACGATTAATAAAATCAAGACAAGCCGATTAAGGAACAGGAATGGTTAAAGTCCAGCCAGCCTTCTAATGGTAAGTATAGTTATACTTATAAACCCCGATTTTAATGAGAACCGATCAAATACACCTGAGGGATGGAGTAACTGTTAGCTTTTGAAAGAGAGGCGGTGTTAAACCCAGCTACTTCGAGCAGCAAGCCAACTATCCACAACGTGTGGGACAGGAAGCAAACTACCGACAGTGCGTGGAGCAGCAAACCAACTACCCATTTCATTTTTCATTTCATTTATTTACATGTCAAAAATCCTTT